AAGAAGCTCAGTGAAACAATAAATCGATGTGAGTTCCTTGGCCAGAAAAGCCGCTAAGAGGAAGCCCTGAATTTTAGAAAATGTCGGATGTTTGCCCTAGCAAAGTTGTTTTTAAGATGTTTGCAACACTTTTGTTTCGGCTGTTTGACATACCGAATGTTTAGACGGTACCCGTTAAGAAGCTCAGTGAAACAATAATTCGATGTGAGTTCCTTGGCCAGAAAAGCCGCTAAGAGGAAGCCCTGAATTTTAGAAAATGTCGGATGTTTGCCCTAGCAAAGTTGTTTTTAAGATGTTTGCAACACTTTTGTTTCGGCTGTTTGACATACCGAATGTTTAGACGGTACCCGTTAAGAAGCTCAGTGAAACAATAAATCGATGTGAGTTCCTTGGCCAGAAAAGCCGCTAAGAGGAAGCCCTGAATTTTAGAAAATGTCGGATGTTTGCCCTAGCAAAGTTGTTTTTAAGATGTTTGCAACACTTTTGTTTCGGCTGTTTGACATACCGAATGTTTAGACGGTACCCGTTAAGAAGCTCAGTGAAACAATAATTCGATGTGAGTTCCTTGGCCAGAAAAGCCGCTAAGAGGAAGCCCTGAATTTTAGAAAATGTCGGATGTTTGCCCTAGCAAAGTTGTTTTTAGGATGTTTGCAACACTTTTGTTTCGGCTGTTTGACATACCGAACGTTTAGACGGTACCCGTTAAGAAGCTCAGTGAAACAATAATTCGATGTGAGTTCCTTGGCCAGAAAAGCCGCTAAGAGGAAGCCCTGAATTTTAGAAAATGTCGGATGTTTGCCCTAGCAAAGTTGTTTTTAAGATGTTTGCAACACTTTTGTTTCGGCTGTTTGACATACCGAATGTTTAGACGGTACCCGTTAAGAAGCTCAGTGAAACAATAATTCGATGTGAGTTCCTTGGCCAGAAAAGCCGCTAAGAGGAAGCCCTGAATTTTAGAAAATGTCGGATGTTTGCCCTAGCAAAGTTGTTTTTAAGATGTTTGCAACACTTTTGTTTCGGCTGTTTGACATACCGAATGTTTACACGGTACCCGTTAAGAAGCTCAGTGAAACAAAAAATCGATGTGAGTTCCTTGGCCAGAAAAGCCGCTAAGAGGAAGCCCTGAATTTTAGAAAATGTCGGATGTTTGCCCTAGCAAAGTTGTTTTTAAGATGTTTGCAACACTTTTGTTTCGGCTGTTTGACATACCGAATGTTTACACGGTACCCGTTAAGAAGCTCAGTGAAACAATAAATCGATGTGAGTTCCTTGGCCAGAAAAGCCGCTAAGAGGAAGCCCTGAATTTTAGAAAATGTCGGATGTTTGCCCTAGCAAAGTTGTTTTTAAGATGTTTGCAACACTTTTGTTTCGGCTGTTTGACATACCGAATGTTTACACGGTACCCGTTAAGAAGCTCAGTGAAACAATAAATCGATGTGAGTTCCTTGGTCAGAAAAGCCGCTAAGAGGAAGCCCTGAATTTTAGAAAATGTCGGATGTTTGCCCTAGCAAAGTTGTTTTTAAGATGTTTGCAACACTTTTGTTTCGGCTGTTTGACATACCGAATGTTTAGACGGTACCCGTTAAGAAGCTCAGTGAAACAATAAATCGATGTGAGTTCCTTGGCCAGAAAAGCCGCTAAGAGGAAGCCCTGAATTTTAGAAAATGTCGGATGTTTGCCCTAGCAAAGTTGTTTTTAAGATGTTTGCAACACTTTTGTTTCGGCTGTTTGACATACCGAATGTTTAGACGGTACCCGTTAAGAAGCTCAGTGAAACAATAATTCGATGTGAGTTCCTTGGCCAGAAAAGCCGCTAAGAGGAAGCCCTGAATTTTAGAAAATGTCGGATGTTTGCCCTAGCAAAGTTGTTTTTAAGATGTTTGCAACACTTTTGTTTCGGCTGTTTGACATACCGAATGTTTAGACGGTACCCGTTAAGAAGCTCAGTGAAACAATAAATCGATGTGAGTTCCTTGGCCAGAAAAGCCGCTAAGAGGAAGCCCTGAATTTTAGAAAATGTCGGATGTTTGCCCTAGCAAAGTTGTTTTTAAGATGTTTGCAACACTTTTGTTTCGGCTGTTTGACATACCGAATGTTTAGACGGTACCCGTTAAGAAGCTCAGTGAAACAATAATTCGATGTGAGTTCCTTGGCCAGAAAAGCCGCTAAGAGGAAGCCCTGAATTTTAGAAAATGTCGGATGTTTGCCCTAGCAAAGTTGTTTTTAAGATGTTTGCAACACTTTTGTTTCGGCTGTTTGACATACCGAATGTTTAGACGGTACCCGTTAAGAAGCTCAGTGAAACAATAAATCGATGTGAGTTCCTTGGCCAGAAAAGCCGCTAAGAGGAAGCCCTGAATTTTAGAAAATGTCGGATGTTTGCCCTAGCAAAGTTGTTTTTAAGATGTTTGCAACACTTTTGTTTCGGCTGTTTGACATACCGAATGTTTAGACGGTACCCGTTAAGAAGCTCAGTGAAACAATAATTCGATGTGAGTTCCTTGGCCAGAAAAGCCGCTAAGAGGAAGCCCTGAATTTTAGAAAATGTCGGATGTTTGCCCTAGCAAAGTTGTTTTTAAGATGTTTGCAACACTTTTGTTTCGGCTGTTTGACATACCGAGTGTTTAGACGGTACCCGTTAAGAAGCTCAGTGAAACAATAATTCGATGTGAGTTCCTTGGCCAGAAAAGCCGCTAAGAGGAAGCCCTGAATTTTAGAAAATGTCGGATGTTTGCCCTAGCAAAGTTGTTTTTAAGATGTTTGCAACACTTTTGTTTCGGCTGTTTGACATACGGAATGTTTAGACGGTACCCGTTAAGAAGCTCAGTGAAACAATAAATCGATGTGAGTTCCTTGGCCAGAAAAGCCGCTAAGAGGAAGCCCTGAATTTTAGAAAATGTCGGATGTTTGCCCTAGCAAAGTTGTTTTTAAGATGTTTGCAACACTTTTGTTTCGGCTGTTTGACATACCGAATGTTTAGACGGTACCCGTTAAGAAGCTCAGTGAAACAATAAATCGATGTGAGTTCCTTGGCCAGAAAAGCCGCTAAGAGGAAGCCCTGAATTTTAGAAAATGTCGGATGTTTGCCCTAGCAAAGTTGTTTTTAAGATGTTTGCAACACTTTTGTTTCGGCTGTTTGACATACCGAATGTTTAGACGGTACCCGTTAAGAAGCTCAGTGAAACAATAATTCGATGTGAGTTCCTTGGCCAGAAAAGCCGCTAAGAGGAAGCCCTGAATTTTAGAAAATGTCGGATGTTTGCCCTAGCAAAGTTGTTTTTAAGATGTTTGCAACACTTTTGTTTCGGCTGTTTGACATACCGAATGTTTAGACGGTACCCGTTAAGAAGCTCAGTGAAACAATAAATCGATGTGAGTTCCTTGGCCAGAAAAGCCGCTAAGAGGAAGCCCTGAATTTTAGAAAATGTCGGATGTTTGCCCTAGCAAAGTTGTTTTTAAGATGTTTGCAACACTTTTGTTTCGGCTGTTTGACATACCGAATGTTTACACGGTACCCGTTAAGAAGCTCAGTGAAACAATAAATCGATGTGAGTTCCTTGGCCAGAAAAGCCGCTAAGAGGAAGCCCTGAATTTTAGAAAATGTCGGATGTTTGCCCTAGCAAAGTTGTTTTTAAGATGTTTGCAACACTTTTGTTTCGGCTGTTTGACATACCGAATGTTTAGATGGTACCCGTTAAGAAGCTCAGTGAAACAATAAATCGATGTGAGTTCCTTGGCCAGAAAAGCCGCTAAGAGGAAGCCCTGAATTTTAGAAAATGTCGGATGTTTGCCCTAGCAAAGTTGTTTTTAAGATGTTTGCAACACTTTTGTTTCGGCTGTTTGACATACCGAATGTTTAGACGGTACCCGTTAAGAAGCTCAGTGAAACAATAATTCGATGTGAGTTCCTTGGCCAGAAAAGCCGCTAAGAGGAAGCCCTGAATTTTAGAAAATGTCGGATGTTTGCCCTAGCAAAGTTGTTTTTAAGATGTTTGCAACACTTTTGTTTCGGCTGTTTGACATACCGAATGTTTAGACGGTACCCGTTAAGAAGCTCAGTGAAACAATAAATCGATGTGAGTTCCTTGGCCAGAAAAGCCGCTAAGAGGAAGCCCTGAATTTTAGAAAATGTCGGATGTTTGCCCTAGCAAAGTTGTTTTTAAGATGTTTGCAACACTTTTGTTTCGGCTGTTTGACATACCGAATGTTTAGACGGTACCCGTTAAGAAGCTCAGTGAAACAATAATTCGATGTGAGTTCCTTGGCCAGAAAAGCCGCTAAGAGGAAGCCCTGAATTTTAGAAAATGTCGGATGTTTGCCCTAGCAAAGTTGTTTTTAAGATGTTTGCAACACTTTTGTTTCGGCTGTTTGACATACCGAATGTTTACACGGTACCCGTTAAGAAGCTCAGTGAAACAATAAATCGATGTGAGTTCCTTGGCCAGAAAAGCCGCTAAGAGGAAGCCCTGAATTTTTATCGTTCACAGATTGAGAAGTGGCTTAAATTTAAAATAAAACTAAATTCATCTCTTCCTTTTCCAAAAAATTCTCACTTGACTTCACAAACTGAAATTTTTTACCAACTGAAATATTGGATCCTTTCGAAAGCTTAAAACAATTTCGGTGCTTCGCTAAATTTTGGTCTTAAAATCTTGTTAGTTATATTATAACCCTCATCCAAACGTTTCGCTAAAATTGACGCAGATTTGGCTTCTCTCGTCAAAAAACCACCTACCCAGAAAAAATACTTGAAAATTACAATATTGTTTCGTTTTCTTTTCCAGTTGGTTTTCTAATTGATTGTGAAAGTCCATTATTTTCTTAATTTTGCTGTGCTACCAGCCTGTAAATAATTCATGTCAGCTGCTAGTGAAAGTTCCCCGCAAAGTTTCTCTTCTGTTCATTTTCATCTTCTATCCACATCAGGTGTTCGCATTTTGCTCATTATTTTCTGTTTGTATAGGTGGCACCTGTACATTTTAAATCTGATCCACATCTCGGTCCAAACATATCGCCGCTACTCGTTAGTGGGAATATGTAGTTTTATTTCCAATTTGACGATGAATTTTAAATTTCTTCTCTGACATGTTTTAGTGCAATTTATGATCATTTCTTCAAAAAACTCTATTACAATTAGTTAAAAAACCCGTTTATTATTTTCGGAAGCTTAGATTATTTTGCAGCAATGCACAAGGAGGCACTGAGTGGTAGGTGCTGGTCTCTTTTTTCATATTTTTTGCTATTGAACTAGTCTAAAAAGAATTAAAGCCTTTTTTTCATACTTTTGCTATTTTCTTTTTAACTAAGCTCACTTTTTGTGTTAAAAATTAAAATGAAACAAGTTTTTTAAATTAAATGAAATAGTATCAGTTTACTAGTTAGAAAATAGCAGTGCTGTAATGTTTACTGCAAACAATTTGCAAATTTATGCTTTCCCTGAACACTAGGGAGTAAAAATAAAAAGTAAAAATGACGGTTTGTGTTCTAGCTTGTGTGCTGTTGTTGTTCCTCTTTTTCGCCCCTGAGACCTCTTGTGGCTCCCCCTCTGTCCCTCCCCCTTGTGACAATGAAGTGGACAGCTGTGTGACTGATGACGACTGTGTTGTGGGCACTGGCAGGGATGATCTAGTGTGTATGGCCACTGGCACCCCCGACAACCCTGGTCCCAAGAACTGTCTCTGCAAACCCGGATACTACGGGAACCCACAGGAACCATGCAAAAGTAACTTACATCACATCAGTGCCTGACGCGCCATTTTCGACCTACGGTTTCATATTGTTCTAAGAATGCCAAATGTCGTAAAAACAACATTTAAAATTTTGCATTCAAAACTTTTTAGAAACGATAAATCTGACAGAACTCAATGTGAATATTAATTGTATCCAAATAGTATTTTTTCGAACTTGCACTCTTGAATACTCTTGTAGTTCAAGATGCCTGCTCATTTAACACGTGAAATAAAAGGCCGTCAAGAAGTTGAACTCACCTTCCAACTAACTGTCTGTTCGTTTTAGTGGAGAGCGATGCAGCCCCTATCTTTGGAATGTACTCTGGCTGTTACGCAGTGGACAAGACAGACCGGAAGATAACACAGGCGGCGGGGGACTACAAGCCAGGGGTGCTGAACACGTACAGTTGCAGAGAGGCCTGCTCCAACCAGAACAGTGCCTATGCTGTACTGCAAGAGGGCGACCTCTGCTTCTGCTCCGACGACATAAGTGAGCACCATTCAGTGCTTGTTCTTAACAAAATCCTTTGATTCAATTAGTTTGCGAAACGGAGCAAAAACGTAGTTGAAACAAGCATTACCGGTTACTCTGTAAATAACACAATATTCTGAACAGTCTTAAATTTTTTTTTCAGATTAGTGTCGTTTTTTCTGCGTGGTGTGATGAAAAGATCTAGATGAAAAATCGGCCCTAAGCATATTTTACAGTCATAATAAAACAGGCCAATTGGAAAGAGTTTTTATCGAAAAATTACCAGAAAAACGGGAAAAAATCGTATAACTTTTTTCTTCAAATTTTCATTTTTTTGCAGTTTTAATTCCCAAAATGTCGGTTAACAACTACAAAAACCAATTTTACTCTTCTGAAACACAGTTTTTACGGCGTAAATTTAGCGTAAATAAAGTATTGTGAGCCTGCAGGCTCGCCTTATTAGATTTTAAACCGGGTTTTTCTGTCAAAACTTTTTATTGTCGTTGGAATCACGACTGAAATGGTTGAAACATGAATCACTCAACCCATTCCGATGATTATTTGTGGTAGCTGGTTTTGCGTGGAAAACAAAAACAACCAAAACACACCCGAATACAAAGCTCTTCCGAGAGTCAAAAGGTGACGCTCTGAGCCACATCTCTGCCGACAGCGCAAACTAAGATTTAATTAAAGCAACTAGGTTGTTGACAAAACCCAGAGGAGGGTCATTTTGGAACCAGTTCTAAACTAGTATTTATAATTGGATATAAATACAACTATATTATTGATAAAACTATCACTAAAACTAAGATTTTAATAACTATAACCAATCATATTCCATCTCTAACATTGACAGTTATTTGTAAGAAGTTTCAGCACCAGAACAATTTGAATAAAACATTGAATACAGTTGTTCTCCTTCTGGATAAACTCCAAGAACTAACTCGCAAAAACCAGTATACACTAGATCTCTTGAGACTAGGAGATATAAGAGTAAGATTAAGATTGGTATTAGACTAAGATGTCGCACGAATCTATCCGGCCGAAAATAAGATAGCGTGACGAACAGACGGTGTACTTTATCTGAAATTACTCCATGAGTATAGACCAAGGTCATAACTCAATTTGACAACCAAGCACTTTGTGACGCATTGTGATACAGTTCTCCGAAATGGTACATGCTTTAAGGCTGTTCATAGCCAAGGTAATTGGTGACATATGGGAGGCATTTGTGGTTCACCCAGTCAATGTAGTTCAAAGCAGCAGTAATTTCAGTGCTTCACGAAGAACTCCAGACAGTCCACATTCCAGTTCCACTTATAGTCTCACACGGAATAGGAGGTCGGTTTTAACTTCTTCATTTTGAGTTCAGCAGAAACCGCATGGCTGTTCGGCGAGTACTTGAGTCTCGTGATTTGTTGTACCATTTTCTGCAATTCGGATCCGCAAAGAATGTTTTTCGCCTATAAGTTAGAAATATGAACTACTGTTCTTTTCATTGTTAGGTCTTCCCAGTTGGCAGCCATTTAGGGGGCAGTATCTATGTCTAGCTTGCCATTTTTTATCTTCCAATCGCCTT